ATATTTTTTGCATGGTTGAGCATGTATTTTTGTATTTCTTTTATTATTTAAAATTACATATTTTATTAAATTCACAACTTATGGAATTTTAGGTCAGTATCACAAGATCTCATGACACACAGATAAAAAGAGGGTGAGGACTAAATAAATTGCCTTAAGAGAAAATTGATGCAGCAAATACATAACCAAGTAGGTCTGCCTCTCAACACATCAATCAGATAATTAGGCCAGATCAAATCAGGCTTGCTCTGTGGAAGGATATGATCTCATTCTTTGGGCCTCAAAGCTGCAGAATCTCATGTGCCTATCTGGATGTTCCCTCTTTGTTCTTTGAGATGTCAGTGGACACAAGAACCAGAATATTTCCCTAATCTGGCTCTGAAAAAGGTCACATGTATGTTCTAGGGCAATGACCTGTTAGATATTACTGCCAACTTTAAATTACTTTCAGAAGTTCCTGGAAATACAGCAATTCAGCTATCTCCATGTCATTTACCATAAGTGTATTAGATCCAGAGGAACCATTCTCAAGACTGACTACAGTTAATGTTAAAGTTTGACAAACTGCATCATAATATATTCATTTTCTTGGCTTACATGTTCCTGTTTTTGTAATACCTTAAATTAATATGAAATTAAAAAGTAAAAAAAATTTGCTGCATGTTTTTATTGTTAATAATAGGAGTAATATAAGTAATAACATTTTAGAATGTATATTTACTTAAATGAAAATCCCAATATTTCCCTTGGTAATAGACCTCATTCTTTCCTTCCTAAAAAGTAATTTAAACTCAGCAAATTCTTAATATCATGCATAGGAATTAGGCGAGGGCCAATATTTTTTTTAACATCCCCATAAGAAGACTGACCTTTGAATGAGGCCTAGTTTATGTGTTTGGAAACATTTTTGGAAAATGAGAACTATGCTTGGGTTCTCTGCTCAATTAATGTTCTTGGATTTCATGTTTTCAGTCTATTCAACAATATTTAATTGATAATTAACTTTTCTCAGAGATGTATATGCAAGTGAAGCTGGTTTACTTGACTATAATACAAGTCTGGATATTTCAAAATCTTTCCAGAAGAGCTGATCTAGTGCTGGTGTCAACCTTTTTTCTTCTTTACTATTTCTGCCCTCACATGGGTACAACACATCCCAATAATAGAGCTACCAAAAGGCATCTCTACTTATTGTCTTTGTTAAACGCTTATTGGCTGAGAAGACAACAGATGCTCTATACAGCTGAGTAACAGAAACTTGAATGGCTTACTAGAAACAAATGGTATTCATGGGAGAAATAGGTATGTTTTGTGTATAGAGAAGAAACTTGCTTCAGTAAGTCATTCTCTAAGCTTCCTGTGGGTAGTGTTTTTTATATACATCTTTTCCCAATGCATTAAAAACTATGTCTCAAGCTAGCTAAATCATATGAACTGTTTGATTTGCCTTGCTGCTGCTGCTAAGTCACTTCAGTCGTGTCCGACTCTGTGCAACCCCATAGACGGCAGCCCACCAGGCTCCGCCGTCCCTGGAATTCTCCAAGCAAGAACCCTGGAGTGGATTGCCATTTCCTTCTCCAATGCATGAAAGTGAAAGTGAAGTCGCTTCAGTCATATCCAACTCTTAGCAACCCCATGGACTGCAGCCTACCAGCTCCTCTGTCCACGGGATTTTCCAGGCAAGAGTACTGGAGTGGGGTGCCATTGCCTTCTCTGTGATTTCCCTTAGGGTACCACAAAATTGGAGTGATGAAATTTTGTTTCCATGACCCAACAATTCCACTCCAAAGTACATACCCAGATGAATCGAAAACATGTAGAAATACTTCTACATGAATGTTCATAGCAGTACTATTTACAATAATCAAAAGGTAGAAACAACCCCAAGTTCATCAAGGATAAGCACATGGTGGCATATCCCTACTGTAGGAAATCCTTCAGATATAAAAACGAATGATGTAAATACTACATTTGCATGCCATAATGTGGGTAAACTTTAAAAAATTATGTTAACTGAAAGAAGCCACACATAAAATGTCACGTATGATATGATCCCATTTATGTGAAATAGCCAGGTGAAAGTGAAAGTCGCTCAGTCATGTCCAATCCTTTGCAACCCATGGACTATATAGTCCATGGAATTCTCCAGGCCAGAACACTGGAGTGGAGTAGCCTTTCCCTTCTCCAGGGAATCTTCCCAGCCCAGGGATAGAACCCAGGTCTCTCGCACTTCAGGCAGATTCTTTATCAGCTGAGCCACAAGAGAAGCCCAAGGATACTGGAGTGGGTAGCCTATCCCTTCTCCAGCAGATCTTCCTGACCCAGGAATTGAACTGCATTTCAGGTGGATTCTTTATCAACTGAGCTATCAGGGAAGCCCTCAATCAGAAACAGAAAGCTGATTGGTGATTACTGAGTGAGGCTGGGGGGCGGTGGGGTGTGAGAATGGGGAATAACTTAATGGGTATGAGGTTTTATTTTGGAACTGTCTTGAAACTAGAAACAGGTGGTGGTTGCACAACATTGTAGATGTATTACATGTCACTGAAATGTTCATTTTAAAGTGGTTAATTTTATGTTATGTGAATTTCACCTCAATAGAAAAAAAGCATAAATACAAAACAAACAAACAAACAACCCTTTATTTCCAAGGGTTTCTGACTAGAGGTTGTGAGAGGTACTGCAGAATGTTGGTAGGTAATTTGGACATCAGGTTCCTTTGATTTAAAGTAGGGATAAGGAGTTTAAAGGCTTTGATGTGTCTCCCTAACACATCACCCCCATTCCCACAGGTACTGCACCCACGGAATATGAGACCCTGCCAGAACCTTTGTCCCTAGTCGGCAGTCAGAGGATGCGATGGAAAGGGAAAGTCTGTCATTACTTATATGCTGCCCCTTCCCTGGAGTATCCTTCTTGGCATGTCCAATGCTCTAGTAACAATGTGGCATGTTCAAGAATAACAATCATACTTGAATAGGAACATTTCCCAAAGCATTGCTCTGTTAGACATCGACTCCATAAGACAGTCTTCCATTCAAAAACAGCATCTGTGGTCAAATGAGTTGGAAACCACTATATTCTATATTTCTTCCTAGATATCCATGATGTCTGCTACCACACAGAGAAATATGAGAATGCCTGCAGTAAAGAAACCTTGTGAGTTCCTGACTTCCCCAAACCATCTCGGTCACAGAACCCTTCTGAAGTGGAGAGCATAGTACTGAGTATGGGAAATGATGCTCTGTGTTAGTAGTCTGGCTTTGATTTGTTTAGAATGATTGTTCAATTCTTGAAAAGTCATATTAAATAAAATCATAGATTGTCCAGAAGATTGAAGTAGTGATATTGAAACAGCAGGATGTTATGATCCTTGCACAGTCCCCCCATCCCCTCTACCTGTCTTTGGTCTGTGGAAAAACTTTAGCCAAAGTTTAATCAGAAAAGTGAGAAAATGAAGATACAAACAGAAAACAGTCAAAGGAGACCAACTAATAATAATGTCATTAAGCATAATCAAGGACCTTTAGTTCCTTCTCAAGGACTGCAGATAATAACCTGAGCCATCATCCCGAGTCGGTCTTACAGATACTGAAACCCGCACCAGGTAGACGATGTTAACATGATCACCAGGCTGTAGCCATGGCATAAGCTGCCACAATTCTGAGAACAGGCCTCAAGGAAATGGGCACAAACTGACCCTGGGACCGAAGATTAACTGTACCTAAAACCATCAAGTGATGCTGGTCAGACCACTGATGACCAACTTCAAGATGACTGTCAGAACTGAACTGTGCTGATTCTGCATAGAGCCTCCTCCCTTGTCTATAAGAGTTCTTGTCCCCTGATTGTCAATGGGAGGGGACAGGCGAGTCAGCCTTTGGATAGGCATCCGCCTTCCCACCCCCCTCATCCTTGCCTGCCAGCTTCCAAAATAAAGCAAAGTTTCCTTTCCACAAACCTGGCCTTTTTAATGGCTTTTGAGTGGCAAGCTGCTGGAGCTGGGTTCAGTAACAGTACGTTAGCTAGAAAGGGAATACTCTAAATCTTTGTACTGGTCTGGTTTACCCCTGCCTGGCTCCACACATGATAACCTTTTCTCATGGAACTGACTCATCAAAATGTTGCATGGCTTTGCTGATTAAACACCTGAGAATCAGCTTGAAACTGCAGTTATGTATAAAAATACTTATCAACCACCAACCTCTATTAAATGCAGTAATGGCGGCAAGCTGTTGAAAATAAGAATTTCATTCAAGGCTGAGTACAAGCGTGATAGAATCCAAAATTCTCAATTAAAAGTAGAAAAAGATTTCGCTCTACTTCCCTCCCAACTGACTTTGCTCCTTCTTCATCCCTTTAAGATTGTCAAAGCAGTTTAAAGTCTTGATAGAACAGGTTAGACAACTTCATGGAAATTAATTAGCATTGGTAACAGTGGCAGGTGCTGTTAGGCCAGTAGCTTCTTGAAACAAAATGCTTGTGTTTAGTCATTAAAATGTTTTACTAAGTGTCAGTATTGATTCATGTTTTTGGCTGCAGATTAAGGGTTCTTTCTAAATTCCAATTAGGAAGGGATCTGTTGGCTTAGCAAGTTCTCCTCCCTGGTATACTGTGATTTTCCATGTCAGGTAATCAAAAATTTTCTCAATACATGTAATCACTAATGAACTGATGATGACACTCATTATTATATTTGGTGGTTCCAAGTCCTTCCGCCAATCTGGTGTACATTATCTGATGGACTCTTGAGGCGTTCCTAAGTGGGAAAATAGCAGTAACCACTGGTTTGGCACAGAACAAGGCATGTTTTCTGGGTTCTCAGCCAGGTGTCAGAGAGGAAAGTTTACAGGTAATAGTGAGACCATTTTTAGGAAGACCGTCTTCCATCTATCTTAGAAATTATAAGAAATTAAGATATCTCCAAGGAAGAAACTTAAAATATATTTTTTCCCATTAATTCATTTCATCCACTCTTAAAAATAATCTCCTTTGCACAATTATTTTGCATCTAATTCTGCCAACCTATCACTGCCTAAGGAACAAAACAAAAAAATAAACTCAAAAGACTGAATCCCAGCAAAGTATTGGTTGATATTTAATTAGCAAATTAGGATTAGATTAGAGTGAAAAGATTCCTACTAAAAATAAGACCTGTGAGTTTGGGGCTACCTGAAAAAGACTTTTCCTACTTTCCTTTCCTAGAAAACTCTTATTTGTTCTTCAAAATCAAACAAATGTTACTTGCTTTATCAAACCATCCCTAACCTCCAGGTAGATACAGCCCTCTATAATTCTGGATTTATGTCTTTACTGTTGCACTAAAACCATTTTAATTATTTGTTAACAAACTTCTTCCTTTACTAGCCTAGGATGCCCACAGAGGGTAGGAACTGTAACTCATTCAACACAAATTTATTGAGAGATACTATGTGCCAGCAGACTCAGATGGTAAAGAATCTGCCTGCAATGCATGAGACCTGGGTTCGAGCTCTGTGTTGGGAAGATCCCCTGGAGAAGAGAATGACCGCCCATTCCAGTATGCTTGCCTGGAGAACTCCATGGACAGAGGAGCCTGATGGGAGCTACATCCATGGGGTCACAAAGGGTCGGATTCAACTGAGCAACTAACACTTTTAAGACCATAGTATTCATCTTTTCATTCCCAGCACTTAGTATGTGCTGTCCCATCACTGACTACTCAATAGTGAGGTGCTGAATAATTGAATAACTGAGTTAACTAAGGATAAATGAATGAATTGATTCTATTGTGTAATGTAGAAAAGGTACCAGTTTTAATTAAGTTTCCCAATTTATAGGCAGAATCAGTACACAGAGGGGTTAACTTCCTAAGGAGAGCAGGAACTGTCATTCTGCTAGAGACACAGTGGCTCAATTCCTGGTGGGCCTTTAGGGTTTAAAGAGACCAGAGCTATAACGTGGTATAACTAGGAGGTGGCAGTCCTAGCCTGGTCTCTTCTATGTGCTGAAGCTCTACCCTGTTCTGAAATAAAGATAGCTGGCTAAATCAGGAAGATTTCCAGGGCTCCCATGCTAATATCCAGAAAGGATAGGGTGAAGGGAAAATGAACCAAAGACTAAAAAATAATATAAATGAGATATTTAAAAGACTGTAGGATTTTCCCGTTATTATGATATGCTTTTTGCAGAATCCCTAAGTCCTGTTTTTTTTTCCTCTTACAGTATTTCCCTCTGATATTCTGTCTCTCTTCATAAATAGTGTGCTAGATTCCATATAGTTGTTGAAAATCATTTTGGACAGCAGGGAGTATGTTTCCAAGGTAAGCCTGAGCCATCCTCAGCCCTGAACTCACTCATCAGCAGTTTGCCCAGGCAGGCAGACAGTCTCCCAGGCTGGTTCAGACAGGCTGCGATGCCTTGGAGTTTCACACTTGAGGTGAAGGCTTGGTGAAAGGAGGCTGATCTAGTCCCAAGAGCAAGTGTGATTTCTGTGGTCAGTTTTGGCATGAAGGAAGAGAAACAGAAAGGAAATTATTAATCTTGAATTCCTGGTCAATTCCCTTGCCTATTTTCTGTATGGTTCTTCCAATCCCTTACCAGTCTCCTGAGGCTTACTTATGGTCAGCAAATGACATGCTCTGTATTTTAACTTTAAGAGAAAATAGAGACCATCAGACATCTACATTTTTCCCTTTTCATATTACGCAAGTCCTCACCTAGCTTTCTCCACTTTCCTTCTGTCTCAGAGGAAGAGGGTGTGTTCACGTGCTGTAGAACAAATTATCCCCAAATCTAATAGTTAAAAAGAATGTTTATTTTCTCACAGTTCCCATGAATCAGGAATTTTGAAGTAGCTTAACCGGGACAGCCTGGCTCAGGGTCTTTCATGAAGTTGCAGGCAAGATGTCAGCTTGGGCTTTACTCATGTGAAAGCTTGATTGGGGCTAGAAGACCAATTTCCAAGATGGATCATTCACCTGGCCCTTGGCAGAAGTCCGGAATCCCTTACCACACGGGCCTCTACACTGAAATGCTTTCATGTTCTCATGAAATAGCAGCTGACATTCCCCAGATTGAGTAATCCAAAGACCAAGTATGGAAGTCACATCATCTCTTAAAATTTACTCTCAGAGTTTCACGTCATCACTCCACTACATTATATTAGAGGTGATACACCAAGTACCACCTACACGCAAGGGGAGGCTAATTAGGCTCCATTTTTTGAAGGAAGGAGAATCAAAGAATTTATGAGCATCTTTTAGAACCTCCACAGAGAGGTCCCTCTTCCTTTTCAGGGCTAATTCCTCCACCCATGAACTTGATTCCATACTTTCCCACCCGCATTTCACTAACTGATTGTGTTCTTTCTTTTCTTAAGATGTTTTCTGGGTTTTTTTGTTTGTTTGATTTTGGCTGTGCTGGGTCTTAGTTGCGGCATGCAGGATCTAGTTTCCCAACTAGGGACTTGAACCTGGGCCCTCTGCATTGAGAGAACAGAGTCTTAACCACTGAACCATCAGGGAAGTCCCTCAACTATGTTCTTCATTAATTTCTTAATAGTAGGTCCTGTTTATTGAGCACTTAATATGTCTAGGCCACAACGTCAAACACTTCATTAAATGAATAATCTCACTTAATATACAACTCCATGAAGAAGGGGAATGATTACCCTGCTTTTACAAACAAGTAGATCAGGGTTCAGGGTTCAAGGTTTAACTGAGATGTCCAGTGTCAGATCACTAGTAGGTAGGAAAGTGACTACTTAAACCGAGCCCTGACTGACTGCATAGTTGTGCTGTTCTCCACTAATCTACTTTATACTGCTCCACGTGGACTTTTGATCTCTGCCTCTCCATCAGCTGCTTCTTAGTTCTCAAAGAGGCTCAATTCTTCCTCATATAAAAATTACCTTCCTTTGTGTCCTGACTCATTCAAGCTTTATCACATACTCCCACTTGTAAAGTAGTGGTCAGCAAACACTTCCACACTCCCATTTTCTCCAACTCACAACTATCCAGGCTTGCACTTACTTAGTAAAATGGAGTAATCAATGACTTCCTAATTTCCAAATCCAGTGCTTCCTCTTCAGCCTGCATTGTGCTTTATTTCATCAATTCTAACATGCACAGTTTTTAATATTTCTGAAATCAAGAAGTCTTAAAGGCAATGACATTTAATATGTGCTAGAATAAATTTCCTTGCTCCTCTTTAATTTCATTGCCTTATCCTGGAAACTCCCCACTCTCAAGTCAGATGTCCCTGTGAACAAGCTCTCCTCTTTCCCTTCCAATAGCTCTACTTTATTGTCATCAGCTCCTCTTCCTCAGGCACCCCACAGATAGTGGTGTATATAATTTGGTGGCATAGGACCCCAAAATATCTTTGGCATGTTTTGAACTGAAAACAATCAAGGTCCAAAAGATTCATGAAGAGAGGCTCCCTAACTTCCTAAAGAATGAAGACAGAGGAACTGTTCCAGGAAAGGAACTGTCATCACAGAGAGCTAAAGTGTGAAGTAGGTGAACTACAGTATGAACCAGGTGTATAGACAGGGAGGAACCTAGCAAAGTCTGCTTGTTGCAGTCCCTCTGTGTTCCATTGTCCCTGTGTGGCCCAGCAAACATTTGTTTACTAAACACTCGCTTTTCCATCTTCAGGTGAACTGCCTTCTTCTCCTTTGAGGTCAGAAACCACAACCCCAACATCCTCTTTTGTCTTTAGCTAAAGGTGGTATTTACTGTGAGGGTTTCGGTCATTTAAGAAAGTTATTCAGTTTTCCTGAGCTCTCCTGTGTATACATGTTATTAAACTTTTGTTTGATTTTCTCCTTAATCTGTCTCATGTCTATTTAATTCTTAAACCAACCAGAGGAACCTAGGAGGATAGAAAAAAATTTCTTCCGTTCAGACAGTGCTGACTCATCATTTTTATGATAGGCATTGTTGGGTAATCTATTGCAAAATCTTCCATACCACACCTATGGTAATAACCCCAAATTTCAGCTTCATGGGCTTCCCAGGTAACTCAGTGGTAAAGAATCTGCCTACCAATGCAGGAGACACAGGAGATGTGGGTTCAATCCCTGGATTGGGAAGATCCCTTGGAGTAGGAAATGGCAAACTGCTCCAGTATTCTTGCCTGGAAAATTCCATGGACAGAGGAGCCTGGTGGGTTGTAGTCCATGCGGTCACAAAAAGTTGGACATGACTGAGCAACTAAGCATGCATGTGCACATGCCATTTCTGCTTCCGTCTCCATATTTCCTTTTAATTAATTGCTTACACTTTTATATCAGGCAAGAACACTGGGGTGGGTTGCCATTTCCTCCTCCAGGGTAGGTCTTTTACAAGTACAACAAACTTGGCAAACATTAACCACTTTCCAGAGTAACTTTCCTGCTTTCATTCCCTATCTTGCTTGTTTTATATTCTCTTACTTTTGGGTTTTGCTCTGCCAAGAAATTGGGCATCCAAAGATTATTTATTCATCAACTCAACTAGTCCAACCTCTCAAAGCCAGTTTAGGCTCTCAATATTATGATTTAGGTTGATGGTATAGAATAATACAGTCACTGCTGATATCAAAAAGATTTTCAGATAGATGATACCATGAAATTGATATAGTCAATGGAAGTGGAGTAACTAATTCTAATTCTTTAACACCTTCTGAAATTCTTTAACAGCAAATATTTTTAAAAGATATAATTATAACTCAGTGTAGTTGGACATACAAATTTCTTATACTTCTATATTATTAAATGATTACAGGACTTCCCTGGTGGCACTGTGGATAAGAATTCACCTGCCAATGCAGGGGACATGGATTCAATCCCTGGTCTGGGAAGATTCCACATGCCACAGAGCAGCTAATCCCATGTGCCACATTTATTGAGCTTATACTCTAGAACCAGAGAGCTGCAACCACTGAGCTTCTGTGCTGCAGCTGCTGAACCCAGTGAACCCTAGAGCCTGTGCTCTGCAACAAGAGAAGCCACCAGAATAAGAAGCCGGTGCACTGCAACTAGAGAGTAGACCTTGCTTGCTGCAACTAGAG